GGTCTGCCGCTACAGCATATTCCTGTACAATGCTTAAAAATGCTAAAATCATTCGAAACATATTGCTGTGCAATCAAAACACAGGTAAAATCTTAATTAATCAGCAGAGAGAGGATCAGGACCTTTGAAGTGCCTTTTAAAGGTCATCTGAGTTATTATGCTACTAAATCAACACATGGTGCAAAAGTTGATTAGGTACTGTGCCCGAGAGATCGTCTTTGCAGGAAACACAACCTGCAGGAAATGCCTTATTTGGTCTGTCTGTACCTTTTGCAGATTTCACATCCCTGACATTCGCTGCTGACACATCTCATTTAATGCGCGAGCATCAAAGATGACTGGGCTGCAGATCAGAGACAGGTGATGCAACAGAACAGTGGGCCCGCTGACTGAGGGGCAGATTTAGCACACTTACATATTTCCCTTTTGTCTCCGTGGCCGCTTGCTGAAAAATGGGCTGCATTCTCTTACAAACGCCGCACCCTGCAACCAAAATACAAAGGAGAGAAGCAGAGGTTATTACAGAGAACTCAATGGGAACACTGCTCTGACAGCTATATGATAATCTATACGACTGTCAAAAGATTTTCCATCATCTGCTAGGAGATTTTTCCCCCCTGGTAAACAGCAGCTCTCAGTATGCTATCTGCTGTGAAAGATATGATGCACTGAGGATAATCGAGCACAGCGCTTGGAAAAAAAACAAAAAAACAAAAATCCATGTGAAGTCTTTTCTAATGAACAACAATAAGAGGCAACAATTAACTGCGTGCTGAACAAAAACGACTCTGTTCTTATCCTGGCAAAGTGATCAGCAGGTCTGACGTTCAGACAGACGCTGCGGCTTAATTGTTTAACAATTTTGCCAAACAAAGAGCGACAGTGATAATCTGTTGCTTTATTTCTAGTTTATATTCTTAGAAAGTGAAATTCGTATTTTTAGTTTTGCATGGACCGATCAATGAACAAAACAAATAATTTTAAGCAGTCGATAAAAGACCTGGCAACACGCGGGTTGTTTTAAAAACGCTCTGTTATTTTAGAACTTTGCATCCGATTTGTGTTTGTAATAGTGGAGCTAACCAGCAAAGAAGGATCTCCTTAGTTGGAGTCCTTTTTTCTCCACATTATAAAAAACGTGTAGTACATCGCAAGATGAGACAGTGTAGGGCTGTGCGATATGACCAAAATCTCATATCCCGATATAAGAATTCTATCGTCCCGATAACGATATAAA